CACAAAAGCCTCGTACTCATGGATGAGACAGGTTCTTGACAGTGCGCTCTGCACGAGCTTACCCAGACCTCACGCAGGTCCTCGATGTGATCCATGTGATCGTTGTGCTTACTGTAGCTGCTTCTCCATGCCAGGTTTGTTTGCGCACGCCGTGGGCAAGTGCAAAGAGAAAGTTTGTTGCAAAGACTGTTGTCGCCGACTGACAATACCCCACAGCTTGCTCAGTCATATCCTGCAGCCGAATGTGTCGGCCTGATAGTTTAAGCAACTTCAGAACAGCTTCTCCATACGATCCAGGTGATCGTTATGCTCGCTGTAGCTTTTTCTCAATGCCAGCAGGCAGGTTTGTTTGCGCACGCCGTGGGCAAGTGCAAAGAGAAAGTTTGTTGCAATGACTGTTGTCGCCAACTGACAATGCCCTGCGGCTTGCTCAATCACATCCTGCAGTGGAATGTGGCAGCCTGATGATTTAAGCAATTTCAGAACAGACCATGTTGTCTTCCGGGCTCTTACGCTGTCAGAAGATGATGTAAAGAGCAGCCTGAAGAAGTGCATCCGCAGCTTGGATCGGGACCAGCATTTGATCACCCAGAATCAGGTCCTCGATGCGATCCATGTGATCGTTATGCTCACTGTAGCTGCTTCTCAATGCCAGGAGGTAGCTGAGAGTCTTACCCCGTCCGTATGACAAATATCAGCTTAGCAGCTTTGGAGTCATGTGACTGGGCCAATGGCTGTCTACAGGAGTTGGGCATCAAACAACAGAGTGAAAGCACCCTCGCGCATGAAAAACGAGGACAAACGTTTGACGTTCCAAGCTCTTTTTGACACTGCTGCTGTAATTCAAGGACAGGTTTGTTTGCGCACGCCGTGGGCAAGTGCAAACAGAAAGTTTGTTGCGAAGACTGTTGTCGCCAACTGACAATGCCCCACAGCTTGCTCAGTCATATCCTGCAGCCGAATGTGGCAGCCTGATACTTTAAGCAACTTCAGAACAGCTCCTCCATGCGATCGAAGTGATCGTTATGCTCGCTGTAGCGTTTTTTTTGCGCACGCCGTGGGCAAGTGCTAACCGAAAGCTTGTTGCAATGACTGTTGTCGCCAATTGACAGTGGCCTGCAGCTTGCTCAGTCACATCCTGCGGCGGAATGTAGCAGCCTGATGATTTAAGCAATTTCAGAACAGACCATGTGGTCTTCCGGCAAGCTGAAGATACCTGAGCAGAGTTCTTAAATTGTTAGAAGATGGCGCAAAGAGCAGCCTGAAGAAGTGCGTCCGCAGCGTGGATCGTGAGCGTGTGCTGTCACGAACAGCTTTCAGAAGCTGAAGACACCCATGCAGCGCACGGATGTCTTAGTCCTTCCACAAAGAAGGCGCAGTTTTCAGAACGGCCTTGATTGGGACGCATACCACTGCCTCCCCTGGGCAACTCTGTCTGTCATCTCCTTGTTTGGCCAACAGCCTGCCTTTTGCGACGTGTTAACACGACCTCGGTTTAGAGCACAACTCCTGTGCTCTTCATTGCGAGTTGAAGACGGGTTTGCATTTGACATTGTAGACACTGGTGTAGAGAGAGGTCTGAAGAACCGTGTCCTCAGAGTGATGACGATCATGTCTTCAACATAGCTGTCCTTGATTGAAGGGCACCATTGGTACATTAGAATCATTTTCCATAAGTTACATCTTTTGCGTACGGTCGCATCATTTGAAGCCTTGCTCCCTGCGATGAGAGAGAGAATCTCGACACGATCCTTCTCACCGTCGCGAATGTTGGGCTTCTTCTACTGCAGGGACTGCCACCGCCATTTGCAGATTCGCGTGTAAGCCGTACGTTATTTTCTGCGCTTGAGCAAACAATTGCGGAAGCCCTGTTGTTCAAGCAAAGGCGGAATGCAGTTTATTCATTAACGGATTTCCTGCAGCCAGATATCGCATGCAGCGCATGAATGTCTTAATCCTTCCACAAAGAAGGCGCAGTTTTCAGAACGGCCTTGATTGGGACGCATACCACTGCCGCCCCTGGGCAACTCTGTCTGTCATCTCCTTGTTTGGCCAACAGCCTGCCTTTTGCGACGTGTTAGCCCGACCTCGGTTTAGAGCACAACTCCTGTGCTCTTCATTGCGAGTTGAAGACGGGTTTGCATTCGACATTGCAGGCACTGGTGTAGAAATAAGTCTGAAGAACCGCATCCTCAGCGTGATGACGATCATGTCTTCAACATAGCTGTCCTTGATTGAAGGGCACCATTGGTACATTAGAATCATTTTACATATGTTACATCTTTTGCATACGGTCGCGTCATTTGAAGCTTTTGCTCCCTGCGATGAGAGAGAGAATCTCGACACGATCCTTCTTTGGGACGCATACCACTGCCTCCCCTGGGCAACTCTGTCTGTCATCTCCTTGTTTGGCCAACAGCCTGCCTTTTGCGACGTGTTAACACGACCTCGGTTTAGAGCACAATTCCTGTGCTCTTCATCGCGAGTTGAAGACGGGTTTGCATTCGACATTGTAGACACTGGTGTAGAGAGAGGTCTGAAGAACCGTGTCCTCAGAGTGATGACGATCATGTCTTCAACATGGCTGTCCGAAGGGCGCCATATATTACATCTTTTGCACACGGTCGCATTATTTGAAGCTTTTGCTCCCTGCGATGAGAGAGAGAGAATCTCGACACGATCCTTCTCACCGTCGCGTATGTTGGGCTTCTTCTACTGCAGGGACTGCCACCGCCATTTGCAGATTCGCGTGTAAGCCGTACGTTACTTTCTGCGCTTGAGCAAACAATTGCGGAAGCCCTGTTGTTCAAGCAAAGGCGGAATGCAGTTTATTCATTAACGGATTTCCTGCAGCCAGAGATCGCATCTGTCCGAGCTCGCAGCAAAAATCGAGTATTGATCTGGTGTCTGACTCATGTTTTCGTCCTTGCGGACGGAGGGTTTCTGTTGCGCTGAACTGCTGTGCAGATGCCGACTTCAGATCTGGGACAGGGAAGTTTCTAGCGGCCTACAGAACCATTCTTTCATGTTTTGCATGCACCCAGTGTTTGTTTGCACTGAGTTGAGCAAGCGAGACGGCGAGGCATTTGCGTGAGAGTGATGTTCGTGGATCCGCAGTGTTGACTCAGTGTTGACACACGGTCAGCTTTCAGCACTGCAAGTGGGGCAAGCGTCATCAGTGTCTGCTGCTGCAATCCTTCACCTCATCCAGTAGTCTGCTGTGAGCACTCATGAGGATCTAATTGTCACACGGTCACTCGTCGAGCTTGCTTAAAGCACCCTGAGTGCCAGCTTCAGTACTCTACGGCGGCTGCCCTCTTCGGTTTCTCTGCTTTGAGCACCTTTTGCGGACCTTTCGGCGCTTCATCGCAGGCTCGGCGCCGAGAGCTCTCGCTCCAGTCTTTGCTGGACTTTGAGGCGGAGGTCACCACTTTGAGACTCTCGTGCCCTCCGGCATCACTACAAACGGGGGAGTCACAGGTACGAGCACGGCAGGAGCATGCATCCTCGGCGACGCCAGATCCCCAGCTGAATCACGAGTGTAGCCCCTGCAGCTCACCGAGCCGTGGGGCGCAGGTCCAGTGACCACGAGCCGCAACGCGAGCCGCCCGCTTCCTCGCAGGGGCCCCACGAATAAAGTCCGGGCTTTGCATGTCGGTGCTGTTTGGGCTCATGTTTATCTGAAGCCCTGTCTCTCGAAGGCCCCGGCCGGCAGAGAACCGTGACTCGCCGCTCCGGTCACACAGGCAGTCAGAGTTGGTTCACAACCAGATCAACTGCATTGTTTGGTGTAGAGTCTCTCCCTTGTCATTCTTGGCCTCTGTGCCAAGTAGCCTGGAGCGCAGAGTGCAAAGAACACTAAAGAACACCCGTAAAGCCTGCGAGGCTGCGTGCTCCTGAGCACCAGAAGGTGCTGCATTGGCCGCACTGCGTGACTTCTCTCATGGGTACAACCATGTAAGTCTCCGACCGCACGGATGTCCCTCGGTGTTTTCGGCAACCCCACGAGTTTGTCAGATTTGTTTGTCTGCTTTACACATTATTGTGTGGAAACTGTTTTGATCTCCTTCATGGAATGGCTGCACGCGTGCAAGCAAGTCCAGCAGTGATCTTGCTCGCATTCTGCACAAAGCTGGCTACTCGCAGTTGTGCTGATGCACGATGCTTTGGTGTGCACGTGCTCTGCAGATTTGCACGTTTCCACGTGTTCACATGTGCCGGTTATTTGGAGGCATATTGCCAGCCCAAAGGTGTGCCGTAAACGTGTATGATATGCGTTTCTTTCCCTCATTCCGGACTCCTTGTTAGCTCCCTCACACCTTTCACTTACCTTCTGTCGTGCTTGTCAGGTGGCGAAGGTACAAGAAAGCGAGATGAGGCCATGGGCAGCAGTGTTGACAGCTCTATTCTCAAGCTTCTGTCAGCTCGTCAGTGCGTCCCAGGCACAAGTCCTTCTCTGTAAGGCAGTCTTATTCCCCCTGTTTGCTCTCTCGGTGCAGATCACACAGAACGGGCAAGTCACACCCTCAAACTAGGTCCTAGGTTCATACAGCAGTCTCGGGGGCTTCGATGGACGAGCAACTGTCTGCGCCAGCAACTTTCTGCCTCGCCTAGACCAAATGCCGACAACTTCTAACAAAGACTTGACAGTCGCGTCGTTTTTGCAACGCAGCCACCATGGCTCTAACATCATGGTTGCATTGTGGTTTTGATTGGCAAATGCACCCATCAATTGGCGGTATCGTAGTCGTAGTTAGGTCGAGTTGCCAACACTGGAAGACCTGTGCGGCTCGGTTTTTGCTGCACTTACAAGTCGTTTCATCGAGTGCTCATGATGCTCAGGCGATCATGATGCCCAGTAGTTGCGAGTTTAACCCAAGCACGTGCAGCAGCGGAGGCATGTGGCAAAACCGTTTTTTTTTGCATCGGCTGGCCAGAAACCCTGGCTGCCGAGAGGTTGGTGTTTCAGTCGGCAATGTTGGGGCCGTAATTCCTTCGCCATGGTGCTCAGCTCGCACTCCATGCCGATGCTGCGTGTGGGACACCGCAGCGGAAGCATGGGCATGACGAGTGGCCTCCCGCCAGAACCGGCAGGGCACAACGGGCACAACTCCGCAACGGAAGCGCAGGTTTCTTTCTTCTCAACCGCATTCCAAGGAAAGGACCGACGGTCGATGCCTCGCCTTCCAACGCCAGCGCAAAGCCCCGTCGCCCCGATTCCCGAATTACGAGGAGATGTTTGCAAGCTCTGTCCTTGGGCATCGTAAGCGGAAGCTCTGCAGAGGATGGGAGCTTCCTTCCATGGAGCACGACAGCACGCCGAAGCTGCTTGGCTGCCTGATGTCTGGAGGCTTGCAAGGATTTGCAAGGGCTTTGGCCGGGACCCCCCTTTTCTACAACCGAGGAGGAGGGATCCTCTGATGATCTCCGTGGGGGACTTGCTCCTGTGATGTGTAATTTCGCGATTTCCTTTTCGGCTTTACACTCATTGCATTCTGGCTATAATTGCCTCCGGCTCCTGCAGCAACTCAGGAAGCGTGTCCTTCGCAGACAAAAGAGTGACATCCATTCAGATGTGCTCCTCGCGCCGCTTGCTGTGCAACTTAAGGGTCATGTTTGAGAAATATCGTATATGGAGTATATGCTGACTGCTTCTCAGCCGCATTGCAAGCATTGCGGTGCAAACGATCAAACGGTTTTACAAAGCACAAGCTTGATCCTATCATCCTTCGGGTCGTATCGTCACAAAACTAGCACCAGCATTTTTTGCATGTCTCAGTCTTCGTCTTATCCCTCGGTCCTGGATGGCTTGAGAGAGGTTCAGCTTCAGGAAATTGCTTCGGACTATTCCTGGCCCCTCACGAGCTCAGAATGCTACTAAGTAGGAGGGTTTGGCCGCGCGCTGCCGCGGACTGGGTTGTGGATTGCATCGTCCCGCTTTTCCATCTCTCACCCTGTGAGAACACAGTGAGGCAGGTGGTGTCGCCGAAGAGCAAGCTTGACCCGCTGCTGCGGAAGAAGGAGCGCGAGAAGGAAAAGAGACACCGAGACGCTGACCGAGACCGAGGCGCTCAGCCCAGGCACGCGGGCACCCGCCTTGAAGTCGCTGCCTGCACAGGCCTCAACCGCGGCGAGCGCCAGAGGTCTTTCGGCTGAAGTTACAGTCTTGGGCGCCCGAAAAATCTGATCCCAGGGCCCAGCCAAAGCCGAGGCTTCCAAATGCCTTAGCTGTGGAGGAGCCAGAGGCGGCTCAGAGGCCGACGGTAGAGCTTACGATCTTTGCTGTTCCGGTTCGAAGCCAGCGATCCATCTGTGAGGGCGTCGGTTCTGCTTCTGCTTGTACTAGGACGCCGGCGACGCCCCTGAAGCTTCCTCCCACGCCTCAGCCAAATCCACGTGACCGTGCTTTGAATCTTGATGCCATCTGGACACCACACCCTCTCATGTTCTCAGGTCTCTGAGTGTGTCTGTGTCTAGGGCAAGATTGCATGTGCGTGATTACCTCAGGAATCTCGCACGCCGCATGAGCGGAGCTCGTGCAGATGAGATGCCGGGTTCTCGGACATGGGACATACCCGATGGGGCTCCTGTAAGTAGTGGGGTGCTCTCGAATGCAGGGACGTCTCGTCTCCGGTGACACATTCGGTGACAGGGCCGCTGGGGAAGGAGACTGCACGGAGTGCTGCATATTGACTGACAACTTTGATGTGGGCCATCTTGCCTTTGGTCTGGCTGGAGCATGTTTGAGTCGGTTGCATCAAGGCTGTGCGAGGACATGGTAAACCTGTCTGTCGCCTGTCAGGAAGGCATGAACTGTGATCTGCCCGAGCCAAGCAAATGGCGGAGAGGCATCCTTGCTGCATTTCCTTGTGCGGTGGACTTGTCGGCTTCCAGCCTCCAAGGCGTGTAAGTTGTAGGCGCAAGCGGAGATGCAGCTGCCTGCAGGCGCGTTGATTCCGAGCGTGGACGACTGCCTAGACAGATTGTACACAGAGCTGGTTCCGGCGGAAGATGTTACTCGAATGAGAGTGAGGCTCGTTGGCAGTTCAGACTGGAATGTGCGTCCTTCCTGTGGTCCTTTAGTTCGCCGCTGCGAAATGCTTGATCAGCCAAGGATGTTTTCGCGCTTTGCAAAATCTGGCTTTGAGTTGAGCAAGGACGACCTGCCGGAGGTCCTGAGTCGCTCGGCAGCTATGTGAAGCGAGTTTGACAGAGAAGAGAGTGCACGAAACATGGCTCTGCGGGCGTTGACCGTTCTTGCCTTTGGTGCTGCTGCAGGGAGGCAGCTTGCACGACTTGAGCCAGTAGCTCTGGTAGAGTTCCGAGATGAGGGAGAAGGCTTGGCTTCAGATTCAGGGGGCACATGGTGCCAGTTGCAGGAGGCCCAGGAGGCCTGTCTGTCCAGCCAAGGACACCTTCACTTTTTCTTGGTGGCGGCAGCTGCTCTCTTCAACGGAGATGGATTTGCATGACTGTATCTGCAAGAGGTCAGTACATGCATAAAACCGCGGGACTTATGATGTACCGCAGCCGCGACGCTGAATACCAAGGACAAGTGTCATCAGATCGCCAAGGAGACTACCAGCTTCGACGTCATGGATTTTAACGACTTCCAGGACTTCTACGAGCGCTTTGCTTCGCCCACTGGCTGCAAAAAGCCGGAGCTTAGGGATGCAGAGATGCCGGACGCCGGACACCTGTGTTTGTGCTGGCCATTTGTTCCAGCCATAGGTGCAATCCACGCTGTTCTCAGGTATGAGCGACAAGCACTGCAGATGAAGTTGAAGAGGCCGGATGAAGTTGTTTTGGTGTCCCTAGACCCCCAAATCCTAAAACCAGATCATTAGGCTCCCGGTGGGTGACCCAACGGGCACCCAAGCTCAGGTGGCGCCCGATGCCTCCATCGATTCGCGGCTTTACTTTTGCTCCGGCAGTTTCCTGGACATTCGTTGGTGTCTTTGACATGCCAAGCAACATGCCCTTTCCGTTTCGATCCATGCAGCTGTGCTGTGTAAATCTGCTCCGCCAAGGAAGTTTGCTCCGCCACCCACCGAGCACGAGAAGGAAATGCAGGCCTGAACTGTTCCACAGTGTTTCTGCTTTCTCCGGCTGAATGAGGGAACTGCGCTTCGCTTGGGTGCCACTGGATGAGCCAGGCCCTGCAAAATTTGCGGAGCCTGCTACGAAGTTTCGGTGGCTCAGTCTGTCGGGTTAAGTTTATGCAGGGTCAAAGGTTCTTGGTGTATGATTCTGGTTTTGGCTTCAGCCTGACTCCAGAAACCGTAGACATATCTCGATGCTCGGACTTAGATTCCCGAAGAATGGCAGTCCAACTCTATGGGTGCTGACACGGGATATCTCCTACAGCAAGTGCGCACACCGTGGTGTTCTGAGGTGTGGTGTGCACACATTCGACCCTAGTCGACGTTCGAGATGCTTGGCAAATCCGTTGCAGGATCGGCATGATAAGAGGGAGGTCACTGCCTTAACAGAACTAGCCCTTATAGTACCCTTATAGAAACCCTATAGAAACCTAGTTTCGGATTGCCCTTTAAGGACATGGCGGGCTTGAAGCACAGCCAATGCGACAACGTGACGGCTCTCACTCGGTTCTTGGCGGCTTACCGGGCCTCCGAAGGCCCCGTCTTCCCGTCTTGGGCTGCGATTCGTCTTGGCTGGGTCCACTCGGTAGGTTTTTTAGGGTTTAGGGTTCAGGGTTTAGGGTTTGCAGAGGATTTACAGTCAACGAAGTGGAGCTGCTGCTGAAGAACTTCGATGAATGTGAAAGCGCGGCCTGGCAGTCTCGGTTTAAGGCGCTCTCGCCTCAAGTGCCTGCGCGGTCCTGTACAGTTCAAGCCAGACATCTTAACCGAGGACCTGGTGAATCTTGGGCCGGAAGGGCGCATGATCAAAGTCTCGGAGCTTGCGAAGGGTCTGCTGAACTTTGGCGGCCTCTACTGTGCTCTGGACGCATCTACTTGCATGGCATTGCTCCGGTGAAGATTTGAAGTGGATGTGCATGGACGCCAAAGGCGTCGACCACCTCAATGCGCTGATGGCCCAGCTGGAGGGCGTCTTCAAAGAGCGGGGGACGCCTGCCCGGCAAAGAGATGTTACCCGTACGAGTGGGCTGGCGAGGGCCGGGAGAGCATCCTGCGTTCTTCGCTTCTGAAGGCATGGTATTTGCATCTTTGAGTTCTTGGTGCATGCGCGCGTTCTGCGGCAAATGGAGCTCAAGGAGGTGCACGGTAAAGTTGGCGTTGCTGTCAGCATTGGCGCTCACGGCTAAACGCAGACAACTAGGTATCCGATCACTTCGCTGCCTTAGATTTGGACAAGGACTGGTGCTCTCCATTTTTGTTCCCTTGCGTTCCTTTCTCCTCGGGGCTCCTTCCTCAGAGCCAGAGGACGGCTTCATCCGTGGCTCGGACCTCCAGGCGCGCGACATCGCGAGAGGTTGAAGCGCCCTCCTGCGTGCGGCACGCGGCGTGGCGCGGAGGCACTGATGCAGCCCTTGGGCTTCACGCTCCTCGGCAAGGAGCTTCAGGAGCTGCAGGCCGCCCGGCAAGACCTGTGTCAGAGCTGCACCGTCCTATTTCGCTTATTCTCTGGAGCTGTTTAGTGCCGTTGCCGAGGAGGGCTTTTCTGGAAGTGTTGTGTGTTGCTGTGATGAGTGGGGTCAGGTCGGATGTATAATGGTGTATAGGGTTGTGACTTGAGGTGTTGGTCAACAAACATGCTTTCCTTAAGTCTTTTTAATGAATTCGATATGGTTTCCATGTGGTTGGCCATTTATGAAGTTGGAAAGTGGTTCCTGCCAGGCAGACTGATTCCACTATTATTATTTCCCTTTGACTCCCAATCTATAAGGTTAAGTAGGAGATTGGCTCAGATCTTGGTTATTGGGCAAACCATAAAATGTTCATAAAAAGTTCATAGTCTCGAACATATCTATGTATATATAAGTATGTTTTCATATTTCGCCATGGTTCCAAGCATCGTCAAATCATAGTAGAACGATAATTAAAGTATATCATATTTTTCAAAAATGCGACTCATATCCGAATCATACATGAAGCATCAGATAACACGTATTTGCATGATGGAAGTTTTATGTTTTAACCACTTCTGAGGTCACAAGACTCAAGTATAGGCACGCTAGATGTTGGCCCCGGCCAGTGTTGCCTTTGTCCTGTTCCCAGTTCTGTGCATTTGTGACCACGGTGTTGGACTGTTTTTTTTCCTGGCCGTCGTTGTCGCACTCCTGGCGTGCGACCTTGGAAGCGGTCATCTGCCAGGCTGCCAAGTCCATTGCGGCGGAGACAAAGCTGGACTTCGACGGGGCCCTCGGCCCTTCACCCAGCATCCCAGCCCAAGTGTCGGTCCATCTGCTACTCCGTGTATGGGGATGAGGCTTTGTCGCCCACGTGCGCGAGAGGCAGAGCAAAGCAGAGGGTGTGATGACCTCAGTGTCTCGTCACAGATTCACAGCAATGCGGCAATGCAGGCATGGCTTCACGGACGCTGAAACTCAGGCCGCCCGTTCGCACGTTTTTTGTTGCAAAGGCAGCGGTGTCTATTTGAGCTTCCCCTTGTCCTTATAGGAATGCATGACCACCTTCGAACGATTTTCCCTCGGCTCCGGGGAAATGCCCACGCTGCAGGCCCGGAAAAACATAGCCACAGCAGTTCAGCAGTACGGAGGGGACACAACGGGAGGTCATGGAGCTGCTGCAATGGATGGGCTTCAAGAATCGCGTGGAAGATGCTGCTCAGCTATGTGAGGTGTTTTCTCCCTACCTTCCTGCTCTAAAGGAGCCGCATTTTCGCTGGAGCAAGCCAGGTCCGCAAAATGGTGCAGCAGGTTGACTTCAATGCCAATGGCACCATGGACCCTACCCGAGCTTACCCCTCCGTGTTTTCCCTTGCAAGTCGAGCCTTGCACCACGATAGTGAGCTGGTGGCTTTGGAAGGACCGCACAGAGTACCTGCGGCTCATGAGATTGCAGAAAGAGTCCAAGCTGGCATCGTACCGCAAGATTTATCAGAGTCTTGACGGCGAACAGATCTGACAGTGTCCCTGCTTCTATGCTCTACTTCTAGAATTTACCTGGGATTGAGTTATCCAGTTCTTGGCTGGTGCCAGCCCTGTCGTGCTTTCCTTCCGGTGCATCAGCTTGCTAGACTTGCCCAGTACAGATTTGCTGGAGGCCTGGGCCTAGGCCCTAAGTAGAGGATTGCAGAGCAGGAGCCGAGAAAGAGCAGAAGGACAGATGAAGGAAGGGCACACTTCGACTGGCGTTCACATGTAGATGTATAGTTGTATACTGCGGGAGGGAGAAAGAAGCATTGAAGTCTGCTTCTTGGGCTGCAGGCATTGAGATTCTGAATTGGGAAGTTGGGGAGTTTACAGAAACAGCCATGACTTTTGGATCCATGGTTTCAGAAGCACATGTTGCATGTCTACCTCTTGCTTTTCGGCAACTCGCAATAGCAATCGTAGCAAATGTTATCTGTAAGCGATTGTAAAGTAAAGCGTGGACAACTAATACGATCAAAATAGTGACCATAAATAGAAAGACTAAATCAGAGATAACTCAAGGCCGAAGCCCCCCCCCCCCCTCACCCCTGCTGTTGCCCCCACCATCACCCTCTACCGCCGCAAGAACACCACGCAACAACAACAGCAGCAGCAACAGCAACAACAGCCACAACAACAACGTCTTCGTCATCTTCCTCAACTCCGACAGCAACGACAACCACAACCAAGGTCAACAACAACACACCGCAACCACGACAACGACCATGACATCGACCACGTCCACGACGACGATGACGACGAGAATGCGACAATGCTCGGAGAGAGTTCCAAGCAACTCCGAGGAAGCCCTCGAGATTCCTCGAAAATCCTCGACGATCCGGCCCACAAGCAGACACACCAAACAGCACCCACCAAGTTGACTCCAGTTTGGCTTCGATGTCCTGACTCCGCGCACAGTCTCCCTTCTCGCGTTCTCGTCCATCCGAAGTCTTGCTAAGGTCAATGAGCCTCGGCAAGACTGCACTCACGCCAGTGCTTTTCGCCCAGGCGCCCCAGCTGCGGATGCACGGACACTAAGTAAAACCTTTGCAGCCTTTCCTCATCACGACTGACCTGTGCCAGGCACTGGCCGAGGTGCAGCTGCATGCGCCGCCCAGTGCCTCGGCGAGGGTTGGGGCTCGAACTCCGAACTTTGCTGCAAGAGACAAGTACTTGAGAGCTCTTCTCTACTCTGATATCTTGTCTTGTTGCTGCATGAACCAAAAACGTGTCCTGCAAACCCTCTTGCGAAGCACATCTTGGGGCAGTGCTGCCAGAGCAGTGGCAGTGGAAGCAGATGAGAACAGAGTTGGAGGGGTTTGGAGTGGCTGCTGGTGCCGCAGCGGCGACCCGGTCAATGGTCTCACGTCGTAAATGTGTTTCGTCTTGGCATTAGCGCAATCCGCTCCGTTCACCTCCACTGTATCGCCGCTACCCTGCATTGAGCTAGGGCAAAGAGCGGGCGAAATCTGCCGGTCACATCTTAGTACCGAGATTCCCGTCTTGGCAAAGTCTCCATTGCGGATTCCCCCCAACATGGGCTGGTGCACCCAGGAATACTTGATGACATCTTTGGCAAGCTCCAAGCAGAAGCTTCAGTTTCCGCTGGTGCAGCTATCATGTTACGCCCCACTTTCAACTTCACATGCGTGGTTTGAATATTGCTGCACGGCGACACACGTCTTGCCAGGGCTCTCCTGGGAGACCTGGGTAGCGGTGGCAGAGCACACCAGGAAGTTGATCCCTGTGGAGAACCGGAAGCAGGCAACGACGTGCACTCAGCAAGGATAAGTCGATGAGCCCTTAGACGATTGGGCACCAGGCGACGTTCAGCGATTTGGAGCTGGAGCAGCTGAGGAGAATGCGGTTGTCGAAGGGCTGTTAGTTGCTGGGAGTGTAGGGCTTTTCCGTCCTCTTAGCAGCGCGCCAGGATGGCTTTCAATCTGCAGGGTTTCGCAAGCGGCTTCTGAGCAGCACAAAGCCCTCGTGTCATCCGTGATCTCGTCTTCTCGTGACAAATATGCAACTTGTGAGAGCCAGGCTATGTCTCCATGGGCGAGCTTCTCTGGATGCTTTCTGATTCCGGGATGCCGGTCAACAAGGCAGAACTTTCAACACCTGAAGCAAGCAGCCGCGAATGGAGTTCTAGTGAGCTTGTCGGGCTGCTGGATGGAGGCCAGCGGAAGACGGGATCTGCACCTCAGAGAAACACCGAGATTAGGTAAGAGCTCGGCACGCATTTACCAGCTGCTTTAAGTGTGCTCCGAGTCCTGATTCGAGGGCTCCAACAAGACTAGACGGACAGAAGAGAAGTTCTGAGGTATGTGAGTTTGGACAAGGCCAGGAAAGTGGCCTTGGAGTCCGGCGTTCCCCCGGAGGCGGAGCACAGGGTGTGGGTTCAAGGCACGAATGCAGGGCAGAGCTGTAGGCCGTCGGCCGGCCTGGCAGCCCGCGGGTGCGCTTCTACCCCGTGGCAGCTGGGCCGCAGGGAAGAAGCGAGCAGGGCTAGGAAGGGCTAGGAAGGGTTGAGGCCTCTCGCGCGCACTGACTGAGGTGCATTTGGTGAGAGCCTTCCTCCGAAATCAGGAGCAGAAGACCTATGAGCCTCGGCTTGTCTTGCAGTCGGAAGCAGAGTCTCGCATGACGTTCGAATGCTAAGGAACGCGAGGAAGCAGCGATGAGGTCCTCCAGCACAAACCGAAGCATCCCATGAAGAGCGTACCTTAACTGAGGGAGCAAAGCAAGGACACATTCCTTCGCATCCATTTTGAAAGCAACGGAGATTTGCTTTTGAGGACTTGTTCAGCCGAACGCGCCGAAGACACACGCGCGCACACATTTGACATGAAACTGCCTGACTCTTAGACGAGCCGCAGAAGCAATAAACAGCCGATAGACCAAGACAACCCGCACAGTCTTCTGGGTTGCATCTAGCACGCACGAACCGGACGGCATGACTACACTCTGCCTCCCTGGGCTTTGCGGAGGCATAGACTTTACTTCACGCAGTAGTGGCAAGACATGCTCAACGGCACTGCTGGTTCTGTATGTGCATACATGCTGGGTATTGGTGGAATTAACCTTCAGGTCATTGCAATTCCATACAGCATCGCTTGATGTGTTTTCCTGTTTCACGTAAGATGCAACTTGTAGCTCACAAGGTCAGCGAGAAAGCGCCGAGAGTGTCATGTGCCTGCAATTAGCGTGGTCATGGTGCAAGATCAGGAATGACAATGACAATTTGTAAGTTGTCTGCACATCTTGACATTGGGGAGTTGGTGCTCGACAGTGGACTAGCGAAGACAGAACGATTTCGTTCGCATCAAAGGCCAGTAAGGTTGTCTGCCGGGATGTCGAAACATCGGCACGAAACTGAGATTTCGACTTAACCTTCGGACTTGATTTTCGGGTTCGATCGCGGACATGTTGAATAATTTTGAATCGTTTAACGAAAGCTTTCGTGGGTTGATCTGCGTTGGGCACGTGGTTGTTTTCATGTTGTTGGCAACTTGGCATTGCCGTTTTGCGCGGAAGAGGCGTCCCTTCAGGGGTAGATCCTCCCAGCGACGGTGCCAGCTTAAAACGATGGTACCTTGTGTAATCAAACTGCTGCTCAGTGCACAGGATATTGACATGGCCGGTATGGTTCTCCTCTTCCTACTTGCATCTTCGATGTCCACGGTGCATTCTCTCCTTGATGCCCTCCTTGCCAGGGCGGTTCGCTTCTCCTCCGCCGAAATCCAGGAGCTTCGGACACTCTTCGAGAAGGAGGCGGCTTTGGATGCGGCTCTCTGTGTGTTTCCCACTGGTGCCTCTTCAAGCAGTAACTGTAACTTAGTAGGCATGTCTGAGCTCCTACTGCAGGCCAAAGAGGCACAACGGGAGCTCTGGGGAGACGCCTCTCGTCCGGACGAGGGGTTTTCTGTTTCGGCATCTACAGAGTTCCGGCCTTCGTGGATGAACCCGGCTGAGGAGGAGGAGGCGACCAAGCGGAGCCTGGGTTCTGTGGTGCGAATGCTCTGCAACTCGTTGCAAGGAAAGCAAAGATGATATCTGTCACCCTCGTCCCACTTGCTCCCCTGTTGCGTGTAGTCGGTGGAAGAGTGAAAGAAGGGCGCTATAGCTGGGAGAGTGCATCAGCTCTATTGCAGAGTGATGCGCATGACATCTTTGCATGCTTGGCGTCCCAAAGGTTCCAAGGAAAGTGCAGAATCTGCAAGGCAGCAATGCAGTGCTACAGCATATTGAGGTTTGACTTCTTCAAAGTGCTTGTCAAGTTTAGCTTGAGTAATCTCCAAGACACAAGCGCCAAGTGTGCAGCAGTTCCAAGGCCAAGAAGCTCGCGTCCCAATCAATCGCGTCATCCTCTTCACGTCCCGAATCGGTGCGCGGATCAAGATTTCGCAGAAGGAGGACACAGGGCGCATCACCAGCCACTAGCTCCCGCAGCTCAGCTTTGCAGCAGCAAGTCGTTCGCTTGTTCACGAGGAGCTGTATACCAAAATCCGGGAGATCAGCGCTTTCGACCCTGGAGATGTGTGGCTCGGCTCATAGAGTCATGTAGGTGCCGTGTCCGTTTCACCGAAACCCAGGCAGCGTGGGATCGACTTCCCCAGCTTCCTGCAGCTCATGCTCGGCTCTCGGCTCTCGGCTCTCCAAAAACGACTCTGTCGCGTGTCGCGACAGGCAGTGGATGGTGGACTGCAATTTTGGGGACATCAACTCAGCTGCGGAGCGAGCCCTCAACAAATGAGCTCTCTCCCGGAGAGGCGTCTGCTTGTTGTCGTTTTCAGATGCACAGCATCTGCCTGCAAAGCTGCGCCGGCGGCTTGCCTCCTCGGAAGACCGATATTTCCACCAAGAGCATCCAGCAGGTGAGGTCCCGTCCAAGCCGGAAGCTTCGCTAACCTGTGGATTGCCTGGTTAATTCGATAAAAAAGATCGGTCCGTTGTTGGAGTGTCAGCCCTGCACTGGCCCATCAGATTTTTTGGTGTGGGACAGAGGCTTCATTTTGCGCAGCCTGCGCATGCACAGGCTTCGTGTGAGGATGTGCCCTGAAGCAGCCACACTTGTAAGCGTCAAGGGTTTCAGACCTAGCTGACAGATAAAAAGGGCCTAAAGAGTGAAACGTAATCCTTTGCTCTGACTATGTGCATACGTCACAACATGTTTGGTGGTGTGTATGCATACGCGAAGGCGTCGCTAGAACGCGTTAGCACCGCAAGATCTGTGTCCCATCAGAGCGCAAAAACTTTCAATGCCTCGCATTTTGTCAGCTTGTGTTGCTATCAAGCAGGGATTTAAGCGTGATTCGTTTGCATGGAGGGCGTGTGCATGCTTCCTTGCCAAACCGAAGAGTTTCTTCTGCCTAAATCGCTGGAAGCCGCCTTTCTGTGCTAGTCCAGACAACGAGCATTGCAGTTTGGTCGTGGTAGCCGACCAAAGCCTTGCCATCTTACTTCAGTTTAAGCGAATGCTCCCCAAATTTTTACACATGGACCAGCTGCACACAAAACGAGGAAGGCGGTGCAAGTCGCCGGAAGTAGCTGAAATCTTTTCTGAGACAAGCGAAAGCAAGAGAATGTCATTGATTCAAAGGGTCCGAAACAAGCGCACATCGCTGATGTCGACATTTCGCGGCACAACACCAATTCGGATCAAATGGTACTTGAAAGAGAGACGAAGAACTGCCGTTCTGCCGTGGACATGACAAGAAGCATATGTGGCGATTCAAGTTTGAGTTGGACTTGCAACATCTGCCTAGATCGACATACGGTCTCTGTAATTTGCACGTTGACGCAAGCGGATAGCCACGTTGGCTCTTTCCGACTGAGAAGTTAGAGCCCAGTCTGAGGTGTAGTTTCTACATTCATACACCCGCTCGTTTGCGCATTTGTTTGTAGGTATGAGTGTGCATGCCTTTGCGTGCATATGTTTAGGTATGCACTCGCGTGCACTCGCACACCTGCATAGATGGATAGTATGTGCGAACGTGTAAGCATGGACATGCAGCATGAAGGCAGATGCACAGCCTATTTACCAAAATACATAGCGAAAGAAAGAGTTAGAAATCATCGAATATGCAATGCAGACTTGCAGCAAGATGGTATCTATCCGCTCTGGGCACATGCTCTGATCACAGAAGCAGTTCCGAGGTTTGGATCTGAAATACCAGTAGTGCCGTGATGATGCATCCACGGAGTTGCATCAGGATGGAATTCCATGTAAATCACTCCGCTGGCTGGATCACCACCTAGGTTCAGTTGTGTCACCTCAATCTCGCCCTCCACTAAGTGGAGGTGCTGTTAGTGTGCTAGGGAGAGCCGAGCAGCGTGGGAGTGCGTGGCGCAGCAGGCTTACATGGCTTACGCTGCTAACTTGAATTGAACGATGCCGGCCTTGCAAGAGCTTGGAAGACACCGTGACTCCTCATTGCCGCAGGCCGTTAGACTCAATAGATACCAGTGTTACAATATCTGCAGGAGGTTGGAAACCTTGCAGTGTAACGCAGTGTAGCTGAAGTTGCAGCTATTAGCCACGAGTCCATGATTGAGATGATACACCGCCGTTGTTCCAGATGCCGGTCGCACGAGGGGAAGGACAGCCGACAGCCACCGACCGACAAGAGACTCGTGAGATCTGGCCAGGAGGGTCGTCCAATGGGCGCAGTCGCGACAGTGGCCGATCTTCGCCGTGCAGTGCCTGCCTTGGGCCCTTTGGGGCCCCTTGGGCCCCAGGCGCCTTCGTCTCGCTGCGCTTCTCGGCTCCAGGTCCGCAGAGCCTCCGAGCTGCGTGGGACCTGGCCCAAGAGGGGAGGCGCGTCAGACACTTCTCGCAACTTCTCGTGGATTTTATCCGCGTGGAGCCAGGAGGACTGCTCCAGAAGCAGGCCTCCAAGGACGGGCCATTGGCACTTGATCGCCAAGAGAAGAGCCATGCCATGGTCTTGATTTTGCTCGAAGGACGAGAGCCATGTAGACCGGCAGAAGACGGAAGTGCTGAACCAGGCCTTGTGTGGCAACAGCCCGAACACTGGGGCTGAGGGAGCATAGTTCCGACACCTTTGGCAGGGTGTGCAGATATGGACATAAAAATTACGCATGCAGCATGCCGGTCTTTCAGAATCCAGAATGGGTTCAGCAGGAGTGTTCCTAAGTGTTCCGGATTGCTTTTTTTTCCCGCCTTGTCACAAGGTTCTGTTTTCTGCGACCAGGATGCAGGCACGGCATGATCTTGCTAGTTTTGCCCAGTCTATCCGAGATGATGGGGGCTTCAGCTGCCCCACTTTCCCCCGAGACTTCCCCTCGAAAAGAGGTGCTCTCGCAGCGAGCGCGGCTCCCTCCCCGGGCCCGGAGGGACTCCAGAGCAGAGCCGAGGCGCTCCGAAGTCTCAGTACTTTGTAGGATCATGGGACTTAGTAAGTGAGTTGGTTTAGGGTTTAGGGGTTTAGGGTTTAGGGTTACTTAAAGGATCATGGGACTTAGTAACTGAGGTTATAGACAAGGCAACTATACTTATAACCCCAATTAGGGTACTTATAACCCTACTTGCTAAGTCCCAAGATCCTCCAAGTAGGTCCCGGTCCCCGCACGACCCACAAAGAGGCCCTCCAGAAACATCTGCTGCAGATGTGGTACTTTTGATGATAGAAATCCTGCATTACCCTAAGGGCCCTGGACTATTGGAATTATGGCATTTTACTTTATTGCCCCTGAGAGTCTTGCAGGAGGAGAGCATTCGCTTGGCCGAGCACCAGCCACGTCGGAAGGCAGGCTGTTTGCTAGCTTCTAGCTGAAAGCTTAGTACTTCATCGATTTAGCTCAGGCGATCGCAAAGGAAACGAATTGAGTCGAACGCAGAGTTTGCCTCTTCTACACCAGAGCCTACGATGTTCACCTGGGCGTTCCTTGTTCGAGCTTCCTCTCCTCCCGCTCGCCAGCTCTCTCCCACCGTCTCCTTTTGTGTTCTCTCGACTCTTTCCGGATGCGTTGGAGTCGTTGTCCACCGCGGCCGGCACGCTGATCATGTGCAGAGGGTCCTGAGACCTGCCCTGTGTCTGCCAAGCTACAAGTGGAGGCTGGTTCCCAGTGTCGAGGAAAGCTTGAACAAGTTCTGGACTGATGAGCTCAGCCGCCTGGCGAGACTAGCGATTCCGAACGTCAGACCCATCAGCTTGTCCCCCCAACTCCCTCGACTCAGGTTCAATGTTGCAGGGCTCTGGGTACTGTCGGCCCCGGTAGGGCGCTCACACGCAGCGTTTCGAATGCAGGCTCCGATGATCTGCTGCGTCTGCGGGTGGTCTTCCGATCCATGTCCGAGGAGCCTCGGCCTTGTCCCGCGAAGTGCCCACGGTCTCAGAGCCTCGGGCGGCCTGTGGCGGCTCTGGTTTTTACTCTGACGCTTTGAACTTCAGAGTCCCTTCAAATTCATCTTGATCATGATGATGACGGATGATAGCTAGTAGCGGCTATGGCTTTCAGGCGGTTGGAGGCGAAAACAAGTCTGGATGAGGGGCTGTGATGTGCGGTTTCAGCATGAGCAGTACACACGACATCCGGTTCCCCGGTTTGCTTTAGATACAGCGAAGACTTGCTTTACAGCACGTGTACTCACATCGTTGGCAGGCTGGCGGGGTCGCCCTACAAAACTGCCTGTTTGTTGCCTCTACTTGTAGGACGGCCTTCACGTTCCTCGAGCCGCCCTCCGTGAGCTTTCTGTTCGCCTCGGCCTCCGCACCGTGAGCCCGGACAGGTCGCCGCACATGGCTCTGATATCTTCAAACTTTCTTGCGGCTTCCTGGCAGGAGTGAGGAACTCTTGCGGCAGATCACCAACTTCGATAACATAGACTTCCAAGACTTCTGCGACTTCTGTGAGCGCGCTTTAGTGGATCCATGGCGCATTATGTGAATTTCTTGTTGTAGCAACAGCAGCCTGCTAGTAGTTTAGCGACGGTGATATCTGTGATGGGGAGGAGGAAGACGAGAGGTCGTCGTGGCGGTGGTGGTGGTGGTGGTGGTGGTGGTGGTGGTGGGTGCGGTGATGGGGTGGCAGCTTGCTGGGGTGGTGGAGTGGTGGGGTGGTGCGGTGGTGGGGTCGTAGTCGTGGTCGTCGTCGTCGTGGAAGCAAGAGTAGCAGCAGTAGCAATAGCAGTAGCAGTCGCAGTAGCAGTAGCAGTAGCAGTAGCAGTAGCAGTAGCAGTAGCAGTAGCAAGTGGTGGTAGTGGTAGTGGTAGTGGCAGTGGTGGTAGTCGTCGTAGCAGTAGTCGTCGTAGGTGGTAGTCGTCGTATCAGTAGTCGTCGTAGGTGGTAGTAGTGGTGGTAGTAGTAGTAGTAGCAGTAGTAGTAGTAGTAGTAGTAGTAGTAGTAGTAGTAGACTGTGGTAGTAGTAGAAGTAGTAGTAGTAGTAGTGGTAGTAGTAGTAGTAGTAGTAGTAGTAGTAGTAATAGAAGTAGTAGTAGTAGTAGTAGTAGTAGTAGTAGTGGTGGTAGTAGTAGTAGTAGTAGTCGAAGTAGTAGTAGTAGCAGTAGTAGTAGTAGTAGTAGTCGTCGTAGTAGTAGTAGTAGAAGTAGTAGTAGTAGTAGTAGTAGTAGTAGTTGTTGTTGTTGTCGTGGTAGTAGCAACTACTGCTACTACTACTACTACTACTACTACTACGACTACGACTACAACAACAACTA